CTTAAGCTATTTACGTATTTTATTTCCGTATGCTCGATTTGATCGTCGTTCAAACTTGACGTCGGTATTTTTCCAAGTCCTCTTGTATAACATAGGCTTGCACGGTTGGTGGGGTTCCCTGAGATTATGAGCAAGGGGTCAGTGAGGTTACGTAAAGGCCGTTGCGCTGACCCGGTCAGGTGGGACAGACGGCAGTTCTCTGCTCCATGAGGTCGCGACGGTGTATCCGTAAACAACTTGGGGTCACTGTCTCCAGGTTTCCGATGGCTGAAGTACAAGACTGTTGGTTCAAGACAGTCATGGTCACGGGTACTGCAAGCATTCGGAATCGTTCTGCGAGGTTATTAGCGGGTTGTTCAAAGCAAACTTGACTTTTACTGCAACTGGCTAAAGGTTGCAGAAGAGGAGATCTTATGAAACTGGTTTTCGTGAGTAGCGCCTTACAAGTTTTTGGGTAGAAGATCTGGCTGTGAACTATTGCGCTTTGGAAGAACTGACTTCCCAGGGTTACTTGGCGGGGACGTTGGCGGGAAGGTTGCTAGTCCCCGTAAATCTCTTCCGATGCCTCCTGTAGAGACCTGTGAATTCTTGTAGAGCTGTGCAGTCGCAGGAGTTTACAATTGACAAGTGTCTGTCTCATCATGGTGTGACCTATAACTCAGCAGGAACTGTATCGAAATAAACTAGCGGATGTGCAAAACGCCCTTCCCAAGCCGAACAGCACCGAATTTTGTAAGGATGGCCCATTTTCACTTATTGTTAGGTCACAGGTGTATCCCTCTTGCCATATGCGCCTTCTGCCACAAGTGCGAAATCCCTAAGGTCTCGCGAGTGAGGGAGTATCGGCTTGCTGTGAAGGTCGTCCTCTGATGTGCACGGCATGTGTGTTGGGGTCATGTTGTTTACGCGGAAGCGAACGGTGACGCAATGGGAGGTCGCGAACTCTTATAGAGTAGAGCCGAGAAGAACAATAGAGGTAAAGACAACGAAAGATGCCAGATTATACTGATGGCTGTAATAACCCGAACATCGTGGAGTGATTGGTTTGGAGAGATCGTGTGGTGAAGACAGGAAGTGTGGCTAATGTTGGCTTCGTAATAGGAAGCTTGTAAAATCGGCACAGTTCGGCGACTTGCGG